CAATGTTTACATTAGTATGAGTTTCCACGGAGCACAGTGCCATAGTGCTCATTTCCCATTGTTATCATGTTTTCAGGTCAGGACGTCGGGCTGGGAGCGTGAGATGACGGAAGCTTCAGGACTTTTATGTTTTGACTGTGTATATATTATGACGATATACGTTTCCGCTGATAATGGTTTTGATGAACTTATATTTTGACCGGACTTTTGGAAAAATTATGCTTTCAGTAATCGTATGATTTTATTAAAAATTAAGATAAATGTTTTTCCAAAGTAAGTCACGTTTTACGGTAGCACCCCGAATCAGTTTTCGCAAAGTAAAAGATTTTATTTCTAAATAACTTTGCGAAATTTTCACACTCTGATTTTACGATAAGGCGGGGTGTTACAATTGGTATCAGAGCACGTTTCTGCGTCTCTGAAAAGTTTTTCAGTCAGTAATTTTCAGAAAAAACTGAACCGTCACGCTCACGCCCCGCCGACTACAGGTAAGTGCTGATTCAGTTTTCAGTTATAAACATATTACTTTGTCTATGCTCAGAAATAATCAGTCAAGAACTTATTTAAGATGCTCGAATCAGATTCAGACTTTGGAGTTCATATATGACTCTAGAATTCAGTATATTCATGACTCTAGAAATAAGTATCTTTCGATATGACTCTAGAGTTCCTCAGGATTCATGTCAGTAATTATCGGCCATTTTTGGCAACTCGTCAAGAGATTTGTGTGCCTTAGTAATCAGTCAGAATATTATCAAGTGTTCGATAATTCCGAACTTTCTCAATGTTCAGATGCCGTCCCGTAGGGAACCCGATTACCCGGCTCTTACTCAGGCCACAGTAGTCGCACAGTTTCGCGACTATCATGCTGAGAAATTCTCCGGGCAGGGAGATCCCCGTATGGTGGACGAGTGGATTCAGAACCTTAGAAAGGGATTAAGTTTGAGAACTCTAGATTCAATTCTAGATTTATTCAAGTTAAGTTAGCAACTTGTCAGGAGATTTGTAAGCACTTGTGCTAAACAAATCTTAATAATCATGTTTCTCAGATATTTCTATCGAAAACTGCCATTTTGCCAAATCAATTGGCAGACTTCAGGGAGAAATTCCTTGATTCAATTCGAGGAATAGACTCAAATTTCCTAAGTCAGATCAGTAAATCATGTTCAAGGCAAAAATTTTCATGTTAAAGGTTGTTACAATTCTCAAGTCATTGTTAAGGTAACGGTTTCCAGTGTATAAGAGTCAATAGTCCGGGTTACCATGGAGGCTTGAAATAAGAGCCATTCAGCCGGGTATACCATGGAGGCATGAAGCTGAAACCGGAGTAATACGATTTCAGGTAATAACAACCTTTCAAGTCAGTCATGTCAGATATTTTATCAGTCATGATATTTCAAGTTATGATTTTCAAAGATCAAGATCAGTTAATTCCTTTGTACTTGCGGGACCAGTTGATACTGGGGCAGTCCTATACAGTACATAGTCATGATAACATTCAAAATTTAAGGTCAATGTTCATGATTTAAGGTCGACGTATAATAGTTGTTCAGTCGGGTTAAGGTGGAGGTCTGCAATACAGACTATTAATCCAATTCTACCTGGAAACTTGAAGTCACATCTTATCAAATCAAGTGAATCAGTAAATGTCATGTTTCAAATTCCGAAGCGACTATTTAGTTGTCTCGGGATAGTTTTCAGAGTTCAGACAAAGATGATTCAGTCATGTAAGAGTCAAGTCATGGTTATTCAGTCATGAGAATATTCAGGCCAGTCATGTCAAGATCGAGGATAGTCTGTCTAATAAGACAAGATTTATCAATCAATTCAAGTATGTCCAGTGCCTCGATTCTCAAATTCAGAAAATTTGAGAAATCGCAGGAAAGATTAGTTCATGATAGACTTTCTTGAGGTTAATTTGGCCTCAGGAAGAAGTAAAGATTTGCAGGTACAACATGAGAAGGGCCAATCAACAACACTAGACCACGCCGTGGAGACAAACCGACGCTTTCCATTCAAGGATGCCTGTCGCATGAAGAGAAGGATGCCATGCCTGAGTCACAGTACACTGGGAGATTCAGAGAATTAGCATTATAGTACATTGAGGTTACTAGCTTGAGGTACAGATATACAGACTACGTCGACGACGCAGGTGCAATGTTCGCCAGGTGCTGTATGCAGGCGTGCCGCACTCACTTGATGAGGAGCAGGTGTGCCGCATTACAATGTGCCGCGAACGATGTGCCGCGTTGTCGAGCAGACGTTCATGGAAGGTAATTACCGATATAGATAGTTATCCTCATTTGTACCTATGCGTATCTCTGGAATCTTCCGTGTGTACCAACGACTGGAGTTTTCACAACCAGCATTCAGACTGGAGATCAGCAGGTAGCCAGAAGATAATGACCAGAGAGTGTCCATTCTCAGCCAGCAGTAATCAAGAATTCACTTAATTGTGAATTGATGACTTTTCAGTGCAGATCAAGTCTATTATTCAGTATTAAAATAATGAATTCTCACGTCATGTACTCAGTAAGTATAAGCTTTAAGTTAAGCTCGTACATTCCAGTTTCAGTATTTCCGAGGACGGAAATATTTTAAGGGGGGTGGTTTGTAACGCCCCGAAATTTATTAATAAAGGAAAATACTAGCTTTCGAGTAAAAGCTAGCCTTTGTTAATAAATATTCATGTTAGTGTTCAAGTCTAAGTTAATCAGCTAA